CGCTGAGGCGCTCCCGGCCTGTCCTCGGAGCTGCGGAGGTTCCCCCGGGCCGGCCCCGCTCCTGCCGGGGCCTTTCCTGCAGCTCCGCACGTCCACGCGCAGTCAGTCCTCGATGCAGCAGCACGGAGAACGTGATGGTTTTGTAGGGCTCTCCAACCGCATGGTGCCTGTTTGCTTCCTGTTTATTTCTAGGAATTTGGAACACGATGATCATATCCAGTTGATTTGTGCAGGACTGAGCGTGTATGGAGCTCTGAGGTCTTTGGAGTTGGCGGCAGTCTGATTTGAAGGGTTTTCCAGGGAGAAATGGCTCTCCTGGAGCTAAGGAGAGTAGGATGTGATTGAACTAGACGTGCTTTATTGGCTTGGAAAATGTTCAGCAGCTGTTTAAGAAGCTTGCTGTGGAAAAATGATGGGCTTGTATCGCCTGAAATCTTTTGCTTGCACTCTACAGTTTTTATACAATCTTTATCTGTTGCCGGTAGTCTTTAAAAATGTGTTAGATTCCTATATTGAATTTTACTGTAAGACTTGCATAAATATGCAAGCCATTAACTGAACTGAATGTCTCTTGTCAGACAAAGTAAGGGCAGAGAATTGCTCTGTATTTGAAAGGTAGGCAGATCATTTTCCTTTTCACTTACAGTTTTAAAATAATCTAAGCTTTCTCCTGTTACTTTAATCGGAGTACTTACTTATTTGTGCATAATGTCTTTTTTTTTTTTCTTTTTGTCTCTTCAGAGTCAAGGGTAAATTTTGGAATTTTTCCAGAATGATTTTGATTATTAGTAATGGTGGTAATCATCCAAAAAAGTCAAATAAAAACAAATAATAAAAATTATATGTCTGCAAAGGACTTAGGCTGAGAAAAGTTCTGATTTCTGTTGCTTAAGATCAGCAGTAAGCCAGCTGCCTACTATAAATTTGGTTTATGAAGAGCTGAACTCATTAAGTGTCAGCAGATAAAGAATATCTATCTGAAAGATGTTTTTCTTCCTATTCATCATGCAAGACTCTTCATCCCAGTGGAAATAATAATAATAATAAAATATATAATAAAGTAATAATAAGCTTTAAACCTGCATTTTCAGGCAAGGGTTTTAGCCTCAGGTGACCCATAGTCAGTTGTTTGCAAAAAGCTGTGTGATATTTTGTAATAAGTAACTGCTGTATAAGAATATACGTATATATTACAATAGAGGCACCCACAGTGTTTTAGAGGGTAACTAGTGAATTGCTCATTTGAGGAGAAAGTTCAGATTTTAATTTAGGTAGACAAGTTTAATGTCTGGAAAATTGTTTACAGGTAGACAGCAAGAGAAAATGTCATACTGTGTTTATTTTCTGTAGGATAAAGTATGTGAAGATGGCGTGTGAATGTCTATGGCGTCTAATTTTAGGGATTAGTTACCTGTTTTTGCACTATTATAAAGCACATGGAGCTGTGTGTGAAAAATACGTTTAGGTTCAGAATAATCACGGTTGCAGATTTTATGTTCCATATGATGAAGGAACCTGTAGCTGGTACCTCCTTCTTGTATGTCATGAAAGGCAGATTCACTCAAAAAGTTGAGCAATGCAGGTGCTCAGGGGGAAAAAAACGGGGAGGAGAGGATTTGAAAAATAGTGCAAATGAAAATGCCAAATGAACAAGCGCCCTTCTGGTGCTCTTTCAGTCAGATACCTCATCAACAGTCTTTGTTTAAAAAAAAAAATTCAATTGGCATTGATTTCCCTGAAAAAATATCGTTCGAAAATTAATTTTAGAGATTTTTATATTTTGTTTTATTAAACATTCAGATTTTATTTTCTTAAAAGGACAAATATTGGAGCATTGTGATGTATCTAGAAAGTGAAAGGGCTGCAGTCTAGGAATGGATGATACTGCAAGCTATTTTTGTCGTAAGAAGAACGTAGAATCATGCTGGATCTCATGATCCGAATGCGTCGTACTGATCTGCAGCAGGTGTAGTCTAAAAGTCTGATGAGATCTCTGAATTTCTTTATTTCATCTTAAGCTCTGTCTTAAGACTCAGCTTAAGTTGCATTTATTCTACTGTGAAATTTTTCTTGGAACTGTTTTGTGGAGGGGACTTGTGTTTTCCCTGTTCAAAATGACTAATCGAAAGACAGAACAACAGCAAGGAGATTGTTTTTTAAGATGATGTTGTTTTGCATTTAACAAAAAGAGAATGAAGGCACAAAATGATTGATGGAGCGAACGCGAGCTGTGTTTCTGGCCATCTACTAGTGTTTTCCAGTAAAATAAATCTTCAGGGTTAGATTTGCTATAATGAAGTTAGAAACAGTGCTTGAAATAAATTGGATTCGCTGGCATGTCACACCAGCCATCCCAAAGGTAGCCAAGTGCTTCTCAGAAGCCAAAGGAGGTGATTGATATGTTGCTGTTGGCAGCACTTTCTTACACCCACAAGAAAGAAATTGAGAACCTTCTCCAATGCAGCACTGAGAATGTTTGCAGTGGAGCTCCCTCCTACTATTTGCATCCTAAAAGCAGCTCCAGCTGCATGGATCCTACTGGTCGAGGAATTACCTGTTTGGTTTGAGGTTTTGTCTATTTGTATAAGTTTTATACATTCAAAAATGTAAAAGGTAGATGTAGATGTGTTAACAGGGAGAACGTGCCTTGAAGGGGACAGCTTTTGGAAAATTGTGGATTTTTTAGTAATTACTATTATTTGGAAAGGCCTATGTAATTTTTTATTTTATCTTCTGTTTTATCTTATATTTCTATGCTGATCTCTTCAGGACGTGTAGATGAAGTAAATCATATTTTTATTCTTGAAACTATCTTTTAAAAGATTTTTTTCTTCAGCACCTGACTGCCTCCATGATTTGATCTGTTTGGTTCCTTTTCTCCATGCTTAGTTATGTGACAATATCTGATCTAAGCAGCAAACCAGGGATGAAGCACATTTCTTAAGTACAGCTTGGCAAAGAGTATTGTCTGGAAACATCTCTATAACTGTTGTAGCAATAGTTAATGATTATTTATTATATTGCAAATATATTGCAAATATTGCGTTGGATTGTTTTAGCGTAGATACTTCTGTTTGTATTGCTATCCCTCTCTACTCCCATTATAAAATATAGTTTGGCAATTATTTGAGATAATTATTTTTATCAAAAGATTAAAAAAAAACTATTTTGTAGTAACAAATGTTTAAGTACATGTAATTGAAGAAAAAAGGGCTAGTATTGCAAATTTTTTCGTCTTACTACAAGCTTATTCAGGAGAGAGCTGAATACTGGAGCTGGGTTTCTGTGATATTTTCCTTTCTGTGAGAAGCTTGCCCCATATGAGCATTGCACTGTATGCTCCTCAGTTACAATTTTCAGGATAAGATATCCATCCTGAAACAGTAAAGTAACTTAAAAAGATATTTAAAAACTATGTATTAACAGATTGAAATGGTGTTCTTAGGCTATTTATAAAATGTAGAACATCACCCACAAAGCATGTGTCACAGATGGAAAAAATGAATTTATTGACAAGTGTGTAGTTCATTGAATAAGTTTATAGACATAAGATTCTACCCAAATGTGCTAGAAATTAACAGTTTGTGTCTCGTGTTTTATGTGAATTAGTTTAAAGGAACCATAAAATGACATGAAGCAGGCAAATCTTATTACCTGTGTATCAAAATAAAATCATTTGCCTTGTTTTTCTTTCTTTTTTTTTCTTGAGAGTGTGCTTGTTATTATTTTTTTTCCCAGAAATTTTAGCCAGACAGCATGCTACAATTATAACTTGTGTTTTGAGGATAAATATACACCACGTTTTCATTCTCTTCCAGAATGAATGTGCTGGCGAAGCTTGTGATGTATAACCAGATTTCAAAAGAGCCAGTAATTCATTTGCAATCTGCTGCTTGTCTCTTAAACGTACAGGTTACTTCGTGCCTCCATGCTACTATGCGTGTTTAGACTGGCTGTTGTCATTAAGCCATAAGAAATAACATGTGGACCAAATGATTTTTTGTATACACAGAGAAATACCCACGCAGCTTAGCTTTGCAAAGGAAGTGGAACGGCTGTGTTTGGGAACAGATTTTTGCTTTTGCAATAGCTCATAAAAGCCAGAGTTAAGTGGGCCAGCTAAACACTTGCATTTGTCACACATTCACTGGAGGAAGAACATGGTCCTTTTTTTTTTAAATACCAAAAAAAAAAAAAAAAGGGAGAGAACAATTCTGTAGCTTTGCCCTTGTCATGTGTTGCGGTCCCAAATATTGAGTAGGAGAGCAATTTAAAACACCCCTGTTTGTCATGTGCATGTACCCAAATTGCTCTCCTTTAGGCAGTTTCAGTTTGGAATTGATTATATAGCGTATAGTAACTTTCTTGTGCTGTCGCCTTAGAAATCATTTTGTAATAAATATAACTGGTTTCTCTTTTATATATATAAATAGACATATAATATATATTACATATATAAATCATATTTATACTGATTTTTATAGAATGGTTAATTTTAACAATGTAGATAATATAGTTGATGAGAGAAAGAGTTTAATAATTAAATTAGGGAATTGTTTCATAATCATTTCTCTTTTGGGGCCTATTCAAAATATAAATTGGATAGCATTTAATTGCTAAAGCTAGTTAAGTGTAAAACTCATTTTAATATGGCTTAAGTGAAACAGTAACATTGATGTAATCGAGAAGCAATTTAAAAACCCACTTTTTTTTTTAGGCTTGTACCTTCACGTTTTATTGAAGTTGTTTGATCCTATTCCTCCTAAGAGTACCTCCTTTTAACAAATTAAAGTTTAATTTTAAGGAAAGATACTTGTTTTACTGATGCTGCAGTAGGGAATTTAAACGCATAACTGCTGTATTATTAACTACTCGTGTTTCTTTGTATGTATATATCTATATAAATAAATGTACAATGTCTCATTTAAACACAGTGTAAGAAGTACATAGAGAAAAACATTGTGAGTAATAAGTATTTTGTCCCATCTACCTTTTGACAGGAGAATTAGATGACAGAGAACAGGCAAAGCTGGAAGTAAAAGTATGGGATCCAGATAGCCCCCTAACTGACCGTCAGATTGACCAGTTTTTAGTTGTAGCACGGTAAGATTAAAATCCTCTAATAAAAAAATTTCCTTTTTCTACTGACTATTTATTCCCTTATATTTCATATATATTCTGTTTTTATTCCTTTAGCAATGCAAGTTGTAATGCATAGGGGGGTGTATTGTGTAGTAGATTGTTTCCTCTCCCACCCCAACTTCCAGAGACTTTCAGAGCAAGAACAAGGGCACGTCACTTCTCATGTTCACCGTGTCAGAAGTTCAGAGCACCTGACGTGAGCATCACGAAGCACAGCACTGAACAAGCAGGGGCTTAGAAGTGCTCTGCAACAGCATCATTTTGCAATTGCTCTGTTCTTCATGTCATGTTTACATTATCCAGCAGTAAAAATCTTGGGTGTTTTTCAACTTTAATATCCTGCTAGTAGCATATACTTAATTTTAAATGTGTATTTTCTTCTTTTTAAGCATCAAATAGCATGAGACTCCATTAAGGAAAGATTAGATATTGACTTTAAGATGCTGTTGCTGATGCCAATTTAAGGTGGTCATCTTTTTAACACCATTTCCAACTCATAATGGACAGAAACATTAATGTGATAATAAGGAAAACAAAGAAAGATTTCCTATATATAGAAGCCACCAAAATCCACCTAACTGAAATTATTTTGCTTAGGTACTTTACCTCTGAAATAAGACGTAGTTCTAGTTCATTAGAGGAAAATCGTGAATTTGCAAGGTGGTGTATGCCCAGAGGCACATGCACCCAGAGGTAGTTTGTTCTAAGCAAGTTTGTTGAGAGTATACCCGCTGTTTATGTTGTATTTCCAAAAGAGAAAAGCAGTGCATGAAAGTGAACAGATTGAAGACAGATGCACTCAAATTACAAAGGACCTTGTGTCACCTGGCTTGCTAAGAGTGCAAGGTAGAAGAGGGGTAAGGGCTTTAGCAGCCTGGATCCAGCACTTTCAGGTCTGACTTGGTGCTGGAGTGCTCTCGCTACCTGTGCGAACAGCAACACATTCATGTTCCTCAGCGTAAGTGGAACTTGCTGTATTTGTGCCCGCTGCCTCTTGTCCTTCCTCGGGCTGCCACTGAGAAAGTTGGCTCCATCTTTACTTTCTCCCTTCAGACTGATGCTGAAGAGATCCCCCCCGAGCCTTCTCCAAAATGAGCAGTCCCAGCTCCCCCAGCCTCTCCTCATATGAGAGGTGCTTCGGTCCATCATCATCTCAGTGACCCTGGGCTGCCAGTGAGTCTGTGTCTCGTACTGGGGGGCCCAGACCTGGACCCAGCGCTCCAGGTGCGGCCTCCCAGGGGCTGAGCGGGCGAGAAGGATCCTGTCCCCCAGCCTGTGGCATCGTTCTTCCTCATGCAGCCTGGGGAGCTCTTGCCCTTCCTGCACCAAGGGCCTCCTGGCTGCCCTGCACCCGGCTTCACCACCAGGCCCAGGCCCCTCAGGACCTTCTGGCAAAGCTGCTCTCCAGCCTGTCTGCCCACAGCCCCTGCTTTAGCTTCCCCGGTGCACGCGCTGTACTTCCCTTTATTGAATGTCGTTGTCAGGGTTGGTTAGTTAAACCCGTGGGGATTCATCATCCTTTCCCAGCTGAAAAATTGTCTCTTTCGTATATGTTCATCTGGGAACCGTTCTCTGCTACTGGCCATCCCCTGGTGGTGTCCTCTCTGTATTTTATTGTATTAATGGCAAATTTTCAGATGGAGACCAAAACGATAACAAGTGTGGATGCAATGTAGGCTTATACAGTAACTAAAAATGTTCTTCTGTTCGTTTTTCCATTCTTCTTCTGGTAATCTCTTTATATATATATATATAGATATAGATATATAGATATTTCCTATTTACTAAGTACTGAGCTCAGGTTTTCACTATACTGTCTATAGGAAATCCTGTGTTTTCTTACAGAATAAGCATAAGTAATTTATCACTTTGTGTGTGTACACACAGCTGAGTATTTTCTCAGTGTTAACATTGAACTTCCCTTGCTGCTCTGTCACCCAAGAGTATGGTGCAATTCTTTGTGATTAATTTTAATATGCTTTAGATTTTATTTCGCTGAGTTTTTGGTGGGATTCACCTGGTATTTTTCTGAAAGATTTTCACTTGTTTGGTTTTTAATCTTTTACCCCTCTTTTTCTATGTTTTTTTTCTTTCTTTCTTAAGAGTCCAGTTTTTCTATTTGCCATGTAAGTGTGGTTGTAGCTCATCTTGGACATATGAAAAAGTCAGATTTTGCAGCACAAGGACCCCACAGTAATAGCTTTAATATTTTTTTCTTCAAATAGATCCTGTCAGGAAATTACTTTCTCAAAATTCGTCTCAGATTTCTTGTAGAAATGTTTCAAAAATGACAGTATTTTTTGTAGGAGCTGTTTGTGCGTAGTACTACTTTTTATACAGGCATTTTCTCTCTCTCTCTCTCTTTTTTTTTTTTTTCCTTTAAAGTGCCATTGTTCGCTGTTGCTTTGTGCACAGAGAAACAGGGAAGAAATTTTAATAATTTCAAGAAGTATTATCTGACGTAGTACCACATTGCCAAATTTCCTGTCATATGAGTTGATAACTTATGCTCTTTTTTTTATCTTGGACATCCCTGCAAATCCTCACACCATCATATTCTCACTCAAATGGCTAAGTCTTAATACAGGTTGTATTTAAATCCTGCCAGCTCTTTCTGTATAATACCTTCAAAATTCCTCATCCAGTATGGCCACAGCCACAACTTTCATGCAGGTTATCATTATTTTATTTCCCAATTGCTTCGTTTCTTTGGTTTCATTGTCTTTTCGGATCCATTTAAGGTACTGCTGTGAATTTTTTTCTTGTTTCTGAGGTTTTCATCATGCCCCCGTGTTCTTGGCCTGCTTCCCTTCAGTAACAAGATACTGATCCCACCTCCAGCTGCCAGCGCTGCTAACCTCGACCACCCCCTCTTCTCACATTCCCCCATGCTGTAAACACTGTAAAACTCTAAACTAAACCACTATTACTCCCTTCAATGCAGGGCAGTGTCCCAGTGTATGTTTTTAAATGCATGTTACAGATTGGAGTTAACAGAAGTTTGAAGCAGTGTATCAGTGCTATAAAGTGGATCTAAAGCTTTGGTGGAATCCAGGGCTCTGAGGCACAATAAAATAATGATAAGTGGAGTATTTGACACATGTGTTCTTATCATCTTAATAAGTCCACATTTGTTTCCTGAAGCTTGTAAAACCATTGGCAGTTATACAAAATACAGTAATAAAATCAGTTGAATGGTGCCCATAACTTGCATCGTTCTGGAACGTGGCTGCGCAAGGAATGCCTGTGCGGGCCAGGCCTCGGAGGCTGTTCTGGATCAGTGCTCCAAAAGTGAACCGGTTCATCCCTAGAAAGTTCACTACCAGGTTTTGGGGCTTGTTCGTTTGTTTGTTTTTCCATGTAGGTATTGCTGAGTTTTACAGAACTTGTGGATTTATTCCATAGTCTTTGTTTCTGGTCCCAGGCTATTTTGTTTTGCTCTACATTTGTCAGCTATAATAGCTGTAATAAGGCCTGGAGAGAACTTTCTTCATTCGAATGTTTAAGATAATTAAAATAAGATTACAATTACCTAAGCAAGATAACACAGGATCATTTTGTCTAGCTGTTAGAGCTCTTATGCCTGTTTGCTTTCAGAATCTGTGCAAAGAATGATCTCCGTTGATACCAGCAACTGGTTTTCATTCTTGTCCATCCCACTGCCACCTGTGTAATTTGCTTTCTGCAAGCTTTTTGGCCCAGGTCAGCTTGCCTAGCTTGTTTTGGGTGGTGTGGGAGGTGGTTGTTTCTGTTTGAAGTTACCTTGAAGTTTCAAATACTTCTAATTACTTATTGACTAACTGATCGGTTACTAGCCTGCTGAATTTTGCAGGTTTTTAAATTATTATTACATTAATTTATTATTGTTACGTTTAATTAAACATAGTTCTATTTAAGTATTTTTAGTTGTTCTTTGGATTCCATCAATTTATGGAACATTAAAGAGTCCATCTTCCAAAACAAAAAAACAACAGCAAGAAAGAGTAGTTAAGATCTTACTGTTCAGTCTGTTTTGCATGAGCAGCCTGGAAAGTTTTTTAATTTAAATTTGCCAGCAGGTAGGTGAAGACAGTCATGCACTTTCTGGAAATGGGCATTGATTTTTATTTTTAAAGTTTTAAAAATGGTCATTGCTCTGTACCTTTGGATTAAAAAGAATAATAAGAGCAAAAAATCACAAATGAAATGTTTACGAGCTTTATATAGGTGTGCACCTCATACCTCTATTTTTAATTAAAATACAACATTATAATGGTTTTACTACTAAAATTAGCATTTAAATTTGGAATTTTAATCATATTGGCTGGATTATACAGCGCACCTAGTGATCACTGTTAAGATTTGGGACTAGGTTACCATTTAAGAGCGAAGTGCTCTAAGATTCCTGTGCTTGTGTGGGCTGTCTGAAAAACCCAGTGTCCAAAAGCTGACCTGGCGATCGAGTTGCTTTCGAGACGGGGCCTCAGATTCTCCACCCCTTTAAAGTGACACACTGCCTGTATTTTGTGGTGTTTTTTTACCTTTTTGGTCTCACGTAACCCCACCATTCCCAAACAGTCTTTAAGGAGCAGTTGTGGTCCTTCTCTGCTCAAGTATAGCCTTGGTAGTGATGTCAGCTAGCACATCAGTTCTTACTTCTGTATCCCTTATCCAAAGTAAATCCAGCTTTACATTATGCCTTGATATTGCCTTACGAACCAGCCTAATTCACATCTGCCTAGAAAGTCTGAAGGCAGCTTGACATGAGCTATCTGTGAGGACATATTATTTGCAAATTCTACAATATACGCTGATTTTTACTTTAGAAGTATGGTCAGCATACCATACTGACCAAATTATGCAAAAGGAAATATTAACCAGAAAGTTTAGCAGCAGAAGGCAGATATAGTCGTGCTGTGTGTTGCTTTCCTGGTTAGAGCAGTAGAGACAGGAGGGTTACAGGAAAGACTGTTCAGTTACAACCTTTTTCGATGCCAACATGTTTAAAGGGATTGACTGATGATCAGGAAAGAGGGTCACAATACAGCCTTATCCTTAGGACTGGTTTGTGGACACACGTGGTTTTATGTGCTGCCAAACTTTATTTTTAATCACATAGTTGTTCATATTTTTGTATATTTGTATTTCTGTGAAGGAGTAAAGGTTGTGGAATATAGCTTATTTTTCTACAGCCTTCAGAAATGTAAATGGATAATATCTAGAGTGTGAATCACTGCTGCTTAATCTTAACTCTGTCTTAAAGTTTTTGGCAGACAGTTTGAATTATTAAACATTTTGAGATGTAAGGTAAAATGGTTAAAACAGTTAAGTATTACTCATTTCTTTATGATCAAAAATACACCTTACCAAGTAAAACTCCTGATGAACCTTACATTATTTTATCACTGAGTATAGAAGTGATGGTGTGCAGTGACATGATGCTTCTAGCATGTCGCTCTGTGTAAGTGACGGTCCCAATTGGCACGATTCCACACTGATACCGTGCGTGGAGAGTAATTGCTGCGCCAAGCTTCACTCCTTTGTCAAAAACCTTGCAGTGGTGTTAAATATTAGCTGGTGTAACTAGGTTCTTGAATTTAGAGGGACTTGCACCATGTCATAACTGCAACAAACATTTTCCGAGCAAAGTGTGCAAACTAGAACAGTTACTGTCATGCTCATCCTCCATCCTTATGCCTTGTCTTTTGTCGCTGTGGTTATCTTTGAAGTCTCATAAATGCTATGTACAATCCATTAACCAAACATAAAAATGCAACAAAATGTAAAATTCTGAGAAAAACTGGTACATTTCAATAAGATTTGACTGCTTTTTATTGAGTAGATTGAGAGACTTATTTAGTTTATTAAAACTTGAGACAAAAATACAGTTTTGCAGGTAGTAATACTAAGGTCAGCATGCATTAATTGCCTTACCAGCACAAGTAGTAGATGGGAACTACGGAGGTGAATCAAATGTTAGTAATTTCCTAACTTATTTACCTGTAATTTCAATAATGAAGTCAGCTGAGGATCATAGAAGTCCCTTTTTGTTTTTCCTAATCATATTTTAATTTGTTAAACAGCATTTAGACTTTTATATTTAAGAAATAGTAATTAAAGTTAGAAAACACAGACTGGGGTCTGACTTCTCAATAAATTCAAAATTGGCACATAAGAATTCTGGGGGCATCTTTTGTTTTCATGCTTTTTCAAGCAAGTGGCTTGTTAAGCTGGGTATTTTTCCTCTGGGGAGGGATGCTCGATGGTTCGTTTTTAATAAATCATCCTTAATTAGCGAAGATCTGAAACCTTGGAATTATGATAAGTGCCTTTTATTTCAAAAGGACGCTTTTAAAGACACAACAGAGCCTGTTGATTTAAAAACAAAAACAAAAGAAAGAGGTTAACCCTTCCTGTGCCTTTGCTGTGTGCCGTGTCTCCGTTGCAGCGCGGTTGGGACCTTTGCTCGAGCACTGGACTGCAGTAGCTCCGTCAGGCAACCCAGTTTACACATGAGTGCGGCTGCTGCTTCCCGAGACATCACATTGGTGAGTGGCTTGTTAAAAATTATCCTGCAAAGCTTTTTCTTCTTCTTTTTTCCCCTCCATCTAGGAATTCAATAAAATCTACTACTCCTCAATCTCTGTTCTCCAGAGGTCTGCTTTTCCCTGGTTACCTGCTTGCAAGACGTCTGTTTGTATAGTAGATAATCCTTTGGGTTTTTATAAGGCTGTTAATGCTGCCCTTTGGGATCACGCTGTAAATCGATTGACTTCAACAGAAATACTTGTATAATATCCTCAAATGTGACAATTCTCACAGTAGCAATGTGGATAATATATGTTGTATAAAGTTTCATTCAATATAATTGATCAATAGTGTGATTTAAAGTGTATTTAAAGCGTATAACACTGAGCATTCTCTAGATAATATCATATTATAAATATTTGTGAGTCTGTAAATTTTGTGAAGAGTATGAGCCATCAGACTTCATAAGCAACCTTTAGAAGAGTACTTTGCTTAGGATGTCCTTAGGATGTTGAACTACTAATTATATTAGTATCTTCTAGAGACAGTTAAAATATGTGTGTGTGTGTGTGTGTGTGTGTGTGTGTGTGTGTGTGTGTGTGTGTGTGTGTGTGTGTGTGTGTGTGTGTGTATATATATATATAAAAATATATAGAAGTTACAGAGCAAAGGAGAGGGCAGGAAAATTATGCAAGAGCAAAGTCTTAGTGTTGGTTAGAATCAAATTTGATTTTGCTTTACCAGAGAAAGGAGTTTATTATTTTAAGAGTTCTATACAAAATTATGTAATAGTGAAGAGTCATGTGGAGCTGTTATTCATCAAATATTACAAGTATTCATCAAATATTACAAATATTGCGAGTTTTGCAACTAGGGGGTGTTCGGTGAAGCTAACAAATCAGATTAAAATCAGTAAGATACCACTTTACTTGGTGGGTAGAGAACCGAGTGGAATTCTGGAATACAGTGCTGTAAGGACTGGCAATACCAGCAGGTTAAAAAGGGGGTTACAAACATTGTGGGCAGCAGGTTAGCTGTGAGCGCGGGCAGAAGCTGCCGTCAGCCGTTCCCACGTCCCAAGGGCTGCGGTTGCTGCGGAGTGAGGTGGACCGAAGGCCGGGATGTGCTGAGACTTGCATGTCCTCTCCCAGGATCACCTCCCGGCGCAGCTGTCGGAGGCAGGACATTTGCCTAGAATCGCTGCTCTGACCCGCTAGGGCAGTTTTTGTAATTTGGGTGAAATATGTTCATTGGTATGATGAGAAAAATACTTAACTTCTGGCACTTTAGAGAGCGCTTCTGGGCTATTAAACAGGAAACTGACTCACAGGAACTGACAGCAGCCTGGACAGCTGTAGTGTGATAAAGAAAGTGGCAAGTGTAATGTTTTCAGTAGTGCTCGAGATAGTATTTTACATTCAAAATATGCTTTTTCTGTTTCGCACTCCATGATATGACCTTAGTGACATGATTCCATTCACATTAAATATTTTATACTTTTTTTTCCCATCTAAATAGTTCTGCAGTTTCACATTTTTCATTTTATTTAAATTTCATTAGATTGAGAATTTCTAATAATACCCATAGAATGCATGTCTTTCTTATAGTATTCAGTGATTAATATAATAGATTTATCCTTATAGCGATTTCTTTTTGTTTGAAAGTATGTGTGCAGTGCTGCTAATAAAGGGATACATTTAGTGCTTGAGTGCCATATAAATGTTTCTGCCTTGCAAATGATCCATTAAGTTCCATTACACTTAATGAAAGGCATATCTTAAAATGAGGCACCAGAGGAGCCACCCCAGGTTTAATTATTGCGTCTGTTCTTTCTCATTTTCCTGCCCCCTCAGCTTTTTAAAGCCTTTCTCTTTTGCTCCTTGGAAATGTACTCCGTTCTAAGTTAAGAAAAGACATATTTGTCTTCATAGTAGTTCTTCTTTCAGGTACTTGTTAATTGGGAGTGTATTTTGAGCAGCACTTAGTACAGAAATTTGCAGTAATGCTTTGGAGGTGCTGTAACACCAAGAACAGTGGTGGTTCAGGTAGGTGACTGTAAACAGACTAATACGAAAAAGTGCACGGGATATAAACATGAGTAAATTGAAAGTGAATGTTCACACTAAGCCTAAGCAAGGAGGTTACTATGAGATTTCCTTATCCCAGAGATATGAGACAAGACAGGAAGCTCTCGAGTCGCCTAGAATATCCTCCTGAAGGACGTGAAGCTGCGTGGGCTTCCTCCTTAGACGGTGGAGGTGGCCGTAACGTCTCGAAGCAGCGCAGGATTTCATGCTCTTTTCCTCTTACTGTGGTGAAGATTTGTGAGATGTAGAGCTTCCTGAAACACGTTTCTCATCTTCTCAGGCCCAGTGGCCCATTTTATAAGGAAGCTGGGGAAGAAAGACCTGGAAAGACTTACTGGGACGGGATTGTTGCTGTCAACCTCCTTACGGAACAGGGGGCTCGTTTGGAAGAGCCTGTGCTATTCCGCACGACGGAAGGCAGTTTTATTCCCTGGTGTCTCTTGAAAATAAACAATATAAACAGTCCGTTGAGTTTTATATAGCAAAACTTTCTAATGAATTGTGTAAGACTTCATTATAGGTAGTCCCTGCTGCAAACATGTTTAAAATATTATAGCGTGCAGGCTGCTGAAATGGTGGCTTGTTTCTGAACCACATGCTCCGGTTGTTTGCAGGGTACCCTGTCACTCCCTGTCTCCCCAGATCCGGGCTGCCTTCCCACCTGCTTAGGCTCCCAGTTAAGTTCCCCCTGCCAGCCTGGCTAATCCCTTCCCGCTGGCACTTGCTCCGGGCAAGCTCTCTTAGGGAAGGATCATTCTCCAGGATCCGCTTTGGAGCTCTGACAGCTCCTCCCAGCTGCTCCTCATGCACCACCAGCAGTTTCTTGTGGTCCTCAGGTACTTGGGAAAAGCCAATAAGCAGGATATGCTCCAGGACTTTTCATCTTGGGCTCCAGTCCTGTCTTCAGGCTGCCCTGGCTTTTGCTAGCAGAGTTTATGTGCTGCAGTGTGGGGATCCAAAAGTGGGGGCTGACAAAGCTGCAGAAAGCAAAGATGGTTACTGCAGGAGCTTGTCCGTGATCTTCTGTCGCAGGCAGCCCAGTGAAGGCAGGATCGTTGCTTCTGTGTGTCTCTCTTTGTGTAACAAAAGAGGACTTATGAAAGTTGATGTTTATTATAGATGCCAAAATGAATGTAGAGCAAGAGCATGATCCTGATTTATTTGCTTCTGCTCATGTTTTTAAGAAAATTGGTTATCAGTGATATTCAGAATAGACCTGAATTTAACAGCTGCTTGGAAAGTGCTCAGTGTTTGCCATTTTTCCATAAACGGTGAGGTTTAAACCATGGTAATGCATATGCTGTAAGTGTTTGATCTTTAGGCCTGGCTTACACACAGACTGGCAGGTAAGTAATAAATCAGTAATTTATTTTATGTTCCCTAATCTGAAGATTATGTATTTTAGGCATCATTACATAGTATCTGCATATTAGAGTTTCTCTTTAAGAATGGTTCTGTCTCAAGGCTTATCAATCTATCTTGAACCCCATGTGAAACGACCCGTTGTAGGATCAAGGCAACATTACTTCTTGCAGATGAAACAGGTCAGATCCTGTCCCTGGTAGCTCTCCAAGAAGTGTCTCAAAGGCTGAAGAAAGGCCTTAGCCACAGGAGGCTGCTGTAGGAGGTACTCATAGGAGATAGCAGTAGATGAAGAGAATGTATCATTTGTGAAGCATTTATACTCAGAAGCTCAACTGGAACCGCTCTCCAAGTGCTATAGTGACACACTATAGGTGCGGGACCCTTCCCACCCTGACAGGTTTGGCCACACGGGTCAGAGCCTGATGTTTCGTGGCTGTGTGTTTTGCAGACGGATTGTGGTTCATGCTTCTGACATCTCCTTCAGCACAACAGGTTGAGGGTCTCTAATAGGGGCTTTTCTAAGGAGCAGGAAGCTTCTTAGATGTTGCTCATCTTCCCTGCGGGTGGTGTTAGCTACTTACTTGTCACATTCCCCATCATTTCCTGGTGATGGAAATGTTCAGAGATGGCTCTAAACAGGGGGAGTGAAGAATGCTGTCACCTGTTTGTATGCCGATTTTTTTAATTAAAAAATAAAAAATAAAACAGAAACTTTGTTAGTCATCTGCAGAAACAGTGTTTGGCAGGGGCAAAACCCTTGTTTGTTTTTTAGCGTGATGATAGTCAAAAGAGTAAATAAGAGTAAATGATGATTTCCTTCCCCAACAATGAAAATAGGCATGCATCTAGGTGCTCAGTATTTAGCTACTGTTTAGAACTGCTGGTAATTGAAAATGTCTCCTCAGCCTCTCATCAAACAGTGTGCCATTTACTTGAAACCTACCCACAAAAGTTTCTCTACAAATATTTGCTAGTAATTTGCAGGAACTAATTAACTGTTGTCATTTTAGATAAACATTTTATTAAATTACTTTCTTTGCTAATTTAAGTAATAGAAAAATATAGATTTTCCTTACATTTCATTACAGCAAATGCATCACATCAGCATAGATTCTAAATGTAGCATTAGCTAAACCTTATTGCACGGCATACAGCAAATAACACATTGCATTTGCACAGATTGAAATTGGCTGCTCTCTGATTCAGCAAGTTTTCTGACTGTGCCCTTCCCTGTGCTAGTTTCACGCGATGGACACCTTGCACAAGCACAACTATGACCTGAGCAGCGCCATCAGCGTCCTCGTGCCGCTCGGGGGGCCTGTTCTGTGCCGAGATGAAATGGAAGAGTGGTCAGCATCAGAGGCGAGTTTATTTGAAGAAGCACTGGAGAAGTACGGGAAGGACTTCAATGACATTCGACAAGACTTTGTGAGTACTGGGCTGGAGGGCTTTGGAGCTACGGGAGTTTTGGATGCATGAGCATAAGAGTGCTCTGTATGTTTGAAAGAGGAGAAATCAATGCATTTCATATATGCAACTAACATATATATGCCCCTGCGTATATTTATGTATATATATATATGTATATGTATCCACACATATATACAAACATAAATATAATCCAGATGAAAGTGAATATTTTTTCTTGTCCAGTGCCATTTTTCGGAAAGATGTTGGCAGAAGATAATCAGGTGATAGGGTGCCTAGTATCCTAAATTCGTAGAAGATTCTGAAATTCCAGGAACTTTTCAGAACTTTTCCGTGAGCTCCATTGATATTCATTATCAGTTCCACAGCTTGCTCCCTTGAGTGCTTTTGGAAACTCTGGGGTTTCCTTCTATGATTAGGAGAGACAAATCCATATTCAGATAGCTTTCAAAGTGCACTACAGGGAGTTCATTTGTTATTAAGGCACTACTGAAAAGTAAAGGAGATGTTTTCCAATATCTTCTAACCATGCTGGATTTGATACTGAAGTATCAGACTTTACAAAGCTTTAATTTGCTGAAATCTAATGTGAAGTAATGAAATGAAATCAAATTTTAATCACCTATTCCTGGGATTTTCAGCAGTTTGTTGGTGAATTTGTTATGTGTTTTCTGCAGAGTCTTCGTTTCTCTTAATGAAATAGACTTACAGTGTACAGGTTTTTGTGAAGATTTTTTTTGCTTCCCTCTGAAAGTTCAGCTCCTTTGCAGATTGCAGTCCATGTTATATTAGCGTTAGCACTGGGTGGTGGTCTTCAGTCTTTGAGAGGAAAATCACACTGATTGAGAAGCTGCGTGATACAGGTACCTGATGTAGGGCTGTGGAAGTCCTTCCAAAAAGGCACGTGGGACACTGGGAAGAAGTTTAGCACTGAGGGTTGGTGATAGATGTCTTTGCTTTTGTAATTCTGAAATGCAACAGACATAACTGAGTCAAGGTGGGAAGGGAAGGCTATTGTTTTTCTGAAGAACTGACATTTTTAACAGGTGTGATACCTGTGTGTTTCATTGTGATATTCCTAAGGGAGAATATGTATGCATAAAGGTGACAATTGCTTCATGGATAGCTCTGCTTTAGATCAAGAAAATATCAGTGTATGCGTGTATTTTATATATTCCCACTTGTTATGGGCCGTTGTAAGGGTATAGACCTTTAAGAATAGACATGTAGTTAAAACTAATCATTTAAAATGACTCTTTTGAGATTTGGATCATGCGTATGTGAACAAGTTCCCGCAAGGTGAGGTGGGTGTGAATTTATAGCACTTAAGCTACAATTATCTGTGAGAATACTTTTATGCTGTAGCAAATGCAATGTGTTCTACTTTTCCCTGACTAGTCACTGTAAAGCAAGTTACCTTTATATTTATTGTAAAAGCAGCCAGTGAGCTAGTAGCATATCTGTTAACTTGGTTAACTGTCTGCTTGCCTTTAGTTTCATCATTAAGCACTCTTTGGATGCATATCTGTTGAGTAAGAGATAAAAACACGTTGGCGTCAGAGCTGAAATTTGAGTCTAAGCAGGCAGCACGATGGTGCCAGAGCACAGGCAGGTTTTTGGGCTGGGTGGCAGAAGGTGATTGGTAGCAATATGCTAAAGCAGCAGACCTGGGTAACCCCTGCTCGAGCCATTATGGTACAAGGACTGCGCTTTCAAAATGATCCCGGGCTTGCAGGATGCGCGAACAGCGGTCACAGCCCGCTCATCACGGCTCCCTGCAGGGCAGGCTCATCTCCTTTTCCAGCAACTGACAATAACTGGCACTGTTTGACGTTCAAAGTGCAACTCTAGCGCTGAGGTGTAAACATTAAATATTAGTAAGCAAGATAATTACCATAAATTAAATGGTGTAAAGGAGTTTACCTTTTTTAATAGACAGGAGAGGCTTGCCTATTATCAAATTACAGTCCAGCCTTTGAACATTCATTTTCATCTGCTGTTGACTCATCAACTGCTATAGGAACTCATTTACTGAGGTGAGAACCTATGTAAATTCTAATGAACCTTAACTTTTAAAGTTAATTGAATTGACTTGAGTTACTTTACATTCCAGGGTAATAGAATGGGAAGAGAGTGAACATTTTTTGCACTCTAAAGGAATCTGTTTTCCTCATTCTTAGGGACAGTTGTTGTGGTCTCTTCTGTATTGCTTGTTAAATTGTTAGTTTTTCATTATCACTGTTTTTCACAGATTTCTAGCTTTCACATAGCAGATATGCCAGGAAGGACCTTGGGAATTGGACTCAAGCCACTTAAGTAACGCAGGAACAAGATTCCAACTTCACAAAACTATGGAAACATGCTTTAAAGTTAATTTATGTACATTTTTAAATGCTTTTAAATCCTAAGTTTTTCATACTGGACTGACCTGAGTGATCCATTTTTACCCTGCAGAAATTATTTTGAAATTGAAAATTGTTGCTTTGTGTTTTTGTATGGCAGATACCTTGTTGTTGCTTCCTCCTACAAAATGCCATGACATGATTACCATGTCCTTTGTATTCCTTTCAGCTGTTAAACAGAATTTGATACTGAGAGTACATCATTCTGTGGCTGTTTACAGCTTCTGTGGCCATTAAGGGCAACCTCTGGAAAATTCCTGTGCCTCTACAGGGTTTTGTCATTTAGGAGTGTAGGTAAACACTTAGGATATTCATAGTCAGCGTGTCAAAACAAAATTTCTGAGTTGTGAATCAAATTCTAAAAGGATGAGGGTTAGCTAATCAAAACACCTTAAATTTCTGTTATTGACTGCAATTGCCTACTGAGTGTTAGTGCTGCCACAATCAAAATTAACTTTAAGAAACTATTAAAACAAGTATTTTCTGGAGATACTGCCAGTACATTCATGGTATTAATGTATTAATAGGAAGTTTATGCATTTGCTAAGTTGCTGTTTGGTGTGGTTAAGTTAGATTAAATGCACATGGACAAAGCTACTCTGATTTAGACCAGAGTTTTACCCACTGTAGTGCTTTACCTCAGAAGTGAACAGGTGATCCTGGATGTGCATCCCAGCTCCTCAAAGGCAGAGGTCGAAGAAAATCTCAGTTCCACTGAGTCTCTGCCAAACAAGCAGGAGCAGCCCGTGGGCTCCCGCGTGTGAGGAGAGGCGGCTCCTCCTTCCGTTGCCTTAAGGAGCTTCCGTACAGGCTCGGGAGCCTGCCCGAGCTTGGGGCACGCAGAAAGCCCCAGCGCGGGCTCAGCAGGGTTTCCACGTCTCTCGATTTCTGGAACTTTCCAGCTTTACCTCTGGAAAGCAAAAAAATACTGGTGTTCATGCATGATTCTGTAAAATACTGGATTTGAAATAGTGACATGTTTTCAGGCTGTGAAGAAAAATTGCGTGAATTCTGCAGGAAAATAAGTAATTTAAATGGCTGAGATAATGGTGCAATGGACTAGGTAATTCTATAACAATTACAAATGGCTGCTTAATGGTTCGTTTTCTCCCCTACACTTAGGCTTACACGTCTTTAGTTTTCCAATGAAAAGCTGCACAGAAACTTGCAAACCAGATTATTATAGTTGTAGTAGTAGTAATAAAAAAAAAAAAAAGTTCCAAAAGTTTCTGGAAGATCAGCTGTGTTATATGAGCCTTGTAGTTTTTATGGGACTTGAAGAACTTGTGAATTAAGTGCTGTGACTAATGTATTTTTAAGCGTAAAATTATCATGAGACTCCAACAGATTCCTGTCAAGATGATTTATTTTAGTCCTGAATGTTGTTCTCCATCTGATACGTTTTATAATAGATATGCTTTCTGTGTTTCCGATTACGTGAGTTATCATTTAGTTTAAGCATAAGATTTACATATCCAAATCCAAACAATAATTACTGCATACAATATCGCTTTAATCTTGCATTTTTGTTATCCATAAAGAAGGTTTCTGTATTTTTAGAAGTATTTTTATATGTATATTTATCTTAACATAGGATATTCTAATAGATATATATGATATTCTTATATATATATGAATATATCACTTTCCAATATTTGTATATCATATATATGAGTTTTTTTATATATATTTAATAAGATGTGGACATTGCAATTTCATGGAACCCCTTTAATTTGTATTGAATATTTTTCAGCTCCCTTGGAAGTCACTGACTAGCATCATTGAATATTATTACATGTGGAAAACCACTGACAGATATGTGCAGCAGGTAATTTAATATTTATTTCAACATGAACAAGACTGCCATATTCTTAAAAATGAGGGAACAAAAACCAGTTAATACATAAAAATTTGTGTGTGGTCATCTTCAAGACATGATGTGGGAGGCCTACGTTAATACTCTTGGTTATAGACCAATAGATCTGTGTGTCCACAGGATACATTGCCAAATCCTCGGGTGCCTGGAGTTCACCTGGCTGCAAAGAGCCTTTCCTATTGTATGCTGATCTATAGCAACACAATTCCAGTTTCTTCATATGGATAGGAAGGAGCTGGGTTGAAGAGCAAATGCATTAAGCTTTTAAACTGTACGTAGAATTGAAGGAAAGGAGACATATATTCTGTCAAAGATAGTTCCTAGTGTTATGAGCCTTTTCTTGGTAGTCCATGATAAGAAGTTAACTTGGTTTTATTGGGATTTGAAAGCGGAAGTCGAGACCATGGTGCGCGCAGTGGAGGTGGTGTCGTTCCCAGCGAGCGTTCAGCTGCTCGGGTCCCCGGGCAGCAAAACCGCGGGGGTACGGGAAGCAGGGTTAAGCAAAACCTGAGTATTAGTGCTTGTTACGTATTGTACTCTGTGTTGTAATGCTCCGTGATTTAGATCTCAAAAGCTTTTTAAATATTCAAAAAAAATCCTCCGTTGCCCTTATGATTTGACTCTTAAGTTGGTGTCTACTTACTGCATTGCAGTTAGTACAGAATGACAGGATGTTTAAAGTAGACATTACATTTCTGTGATTTCAGCTGTGTCTGATTTTTTACAATTATTTTTGCAATTACTATGTATTTAGTTGCAGTTTATGCAGCGGAGAAGGGTGATTGCTTCAAATCCTTCTGTTTTGTTCTTTGTTTTGTTTGGGTTTTTTTCAAAGAGTGTCTGCGTCTCGTTGGGTTATAAAAAGTCTTGTGCAGTGTAGTAGAGTCTTAGTTATGACGAGGACTTTTTAGTGCTGAAGTAAAACAAATAGAAAATAGTTCTGCTGTGTATTAAAGAATGTATTTTCAGTATGTCTCCATTCATTTAACTTTTTCAACACTTCCTTGGTACGATTACTCTCTATTTCAGGAAGGCATTGCCAGCAGGCATTTGCTGTGCACTTTGTCAGCTCTTCAGAGTTGCCCTTAAGAGAGCAATGGAGGATCTGGAAAGATCAGAGACTGAAAGCCTTGCAGTAAAGATAAAATTGAACTGAAAATTGACTTCTGTCAACCTGCTGAGGTTGCTCAGAGACTGATCTCTGTTTTCCTTTGCTTTGTTTGTTTTTATTTTTTCCCTGAAATACTTGCCCTAGAGCAGTTGGCAAAAGATACTGAGATGGAATTTTTTTTTTCTGTCCTCCTCCAGGGTTCCATTACGACTCTGTAGCCACAGCAGGCAGTGACTGGCATTCTGTTGGGTTAGTGTCCCTCTACAGAATTAGATATTTAACTTCAGATACAAAAAGATCATCCAGAAATACTGCAAAGTTCCTTATGGTTATCCGGAACTTGAATACTCTTACAAGCATAAATGTCTATTTGTTGCCTATCCTTAAGTAAACCTGTAATATCTTAATTCCCAACATACCATTAAACCCTAAATACTGTTGAGATGTTATTTCAGGGTCAGTCGATAGTCAAAATACTATAGGCAGAATTAATTCATTTATCTCCTTCTTATAATCCCTCCTGCCAAGAAATCCAACAGGTCAGAATTTTGTTCTGCCATTATTTACTTTGTTCTGGAATGGCAAAAATAATACAGTTCAGTAAAGATAGTATCTGTGATTTTTTTTTTTTTTTATACTAGAACAAGCTGTGATGATTGAATGCATGCTGGGAGAAAATATGTTCAGTAGAAGAGTGGCAGTTTCAGAGTCATTCTTTTCTAAATGTCATGCCTGAGAAGTAGGACAGCTTGAGAGAACAGGAAAAGAAAATATTGATGTACATCCTTGAATCTTATTCATACACAAAATGCAGTCTTTGTATTTTAAATCAATGTGATTTAATATTAAAACTTTCTATTTAATTACTCCTTATTTTGTCATGCGTATTGGCTGCATATAGGATAGATTTCAGTGCCATAACTGTCCCTATATGGTACTCTTGCTTGGTGGTTAAAGGCCATGTTTTAATGGGGATGGAGATGCTGCTGCTGCCTCGCCCTCAGAGCATATGGCCCCTTGAAGTCAAGGTGTGGGGAAGTTGTAAGGAGAAACTGAAAGGAAATGTATTTTTCTTTTCTGTCTGTACCGAACCTATCTAGCAAAACTAATTCTGATTTTCAGTATTGATTTTTGGCAATCTGTCACTTTTCATGACCGCTAACTTGTGTAGCTTTGTGCTTAAAAGTAGAGTTCAGTGCAAAAATCTTTTAGGAAGGTTTTTCAGCAGAAAAAGGAGAATACGTGCAAGCAGAGGATTCATTGTGCAAAACTATTACAAGGTCATTCATTAGGCTAGGGAACAGCTAACTTCAAAGTCTTGTATTACCACAGTATATTACATTTCTTTCCTGTTGATTTTTCCGTAGAAAACATTACGTACATAGGGAAATGCTTGTTTCTTTGGATATTTGTCAGTGGATAATCAGGACAGATCTCTAGTAAAGAGATACCATTCCATTTTCAAGGGCAGTTGAGCAAAAGCAGTGCAGGCCAAACGAAAAGCTGAGATAATATTTAGTTTGACCTCTTCCATAATACAGTCTATAAGACTTCCTTGAAATAGTTGGTGTTTAAAATTAGATGTATCCTTTCAAAAAACATCATTTCTCCTGGTAAAATTGTTTCAGTGAGTAATTATGCTTACTGTTGCAAAGTGGAGTTTTGTTTCTTGTCTCAGTTGGTCTAGCTTCTACCTCCAGCCTTTCCCCATGGTACTGAGGAGCTTTTTTACTACCAGATTTAATCTCTGCATAATTATTTCTCGTTTTTTTTCTCTGAACGTTTCAGATTAGCCAGTTTTCGTTCTTCAGATTCCTGTAGACTGAGGTTTCATGTCAGAAAGTGCAGTTATTGCTGATGGTTTTATTTCTGCATCCTCGCTTCTCTTCCTGTACCTTTCCCTAAAAGGGGATTGATCCGGGTGAATTCAAGCAGTGACTTTTTCTGTTGCTTTTATAGAGCAATGTTAAGTATAGCTTTAGTGCGTAAAAATACAGCTTATACTAAAATAGTACTATGTGATTATTTTGCAGCAGAAAGTATATGATTCATTTTAACAAATAGAGGAGGAAAGGCGTTGCTAAAATTGTATTCCGTAGAGCCCCTATGCCAGTATTAAAGGTATGCTAAAAGGTAGTTAATGTGTATACTTGCCTCTCAGTGCCGCCAGCAGGGCCTCCATACAGCTTTCTGCAAGTGCCTCTGAATTTTGACACTGCTTCAAGGCTACTTACCTGATTTCTTTTAGCTTATTGTGGGTTTTTGTTGTTATTGTTTTGCACTGGGCACAAGGGTGTAAGTGAGATTTGTTCTTTTTCTTTGTACACAGTTTCTTCTGTGTCTCAGTGCAATGCAGATTATCTGCTAACTTATAGCCTCACCTGTTTCTTCAATTTGAACATCAAATATATGTATAGTTGGGCATAATATGAAGAGGGTAAAATAAATAAATAAATCAAGTTGTGGGTGGCAGCCTTGGCCCGAAGCTCTTAGGCAGGAGCCGCTCGTTGTTGCGGCCTGTTGTGCGGGAGCGCCGAGGAAGCGCTCGCGGCGGGCAGGCGCTTGGCGAGCGAGGCTTGGCCCGTGCCCGGCGGACGGGTGCTTAGCAAGGCTGTGAGGCGGCAGGGCGCTGCCGCAGCTCGGGGCGCACGAGGCGCCGCGGTGGGAGCGGTGGGAAGCCTCCCTCGCCCCACGGCAATGGGGTTCTGGTGGCAAGGGCTGCTGGAATCCTCCTCGGAGACACACTGGAAAAGGAGTCCGTATACCTGACACGTGTGTTGGCGGATGGCACGC